ACCTGTAACCCGCTCGCATTTTCAATTTTGAATATTTATAAGGTTGGGTTTACTTTATTTAGTGCCGGAATTATCAAGGGATAACAAACTGTCCTGGTCAGGGTAATACATCACTTGTAACGTGACAGGTGGCCCTGAGGGTTGTAAAATGCTCTGGAGACAGACGCGCACACAACCGACGCTAATGGACCACGTGAGAAGAAGATTTAAAATGAAATAGAGAGAAGGAGTCAGATGTGATTATCGTCATTTCAAATAAATAAAACGGTAAAAGTCGGCGATTTATTGAAATATACAACCATCGATTTTGTCATTCGAACAATGTGTGCGTTTATTTCCGTTTTGTTTGTTCGGCATTGATTAAAAGAAACACAGGGCAATTAGTACCTGTTCGCAAACAATTGTTTTCAAATGTCGGTGTATGGTATTTTTTTAGAATGTAATTAAGCCGTAGATTTATACGGTTACCAACAAAGCCACCGATTAACGTAAGCCTTTTATAACGTCCATAGCGTTTGTGTGTAATAAATCAAATTCTTCCTAAATGTTTGTTACGTAAATTCCTCAATCTTGTTTTGAATAATATTCGTATAGTCTAGAAACACCTCACATAACTTTCACAGAATTTACATAAATTTCCTATACAATGATTATGGACGATGAATATTTAGTTCCAGGAGATCGCAGCTTTTTAAGCTTTTAGGCTCTCAGATGTTATAAAAGCTTTTATTTTTTGTGACCCTTGGCGGAGCGACTACCGATGACACAAATCAATATGGTGATTTTTCTACGATAATGTTTGATTTTTCGATGGCATTCTAAAATGTCGGTTGCTGTCCTCAGGTTTATCATGTCAAGTAGACTTCAGGCATACAGGAATACAACACAACCACATCCCTAAGGAATCTGTTCTTTGTAGTTCCATTTTCGAGTATAAATTCCATTGGAAATTTGTAAAGGTAGACTTAAACCATATATGACTGTAGATTAAAATCGTGACATGCTCGTATCACCATCAAAGGAGATGTGCGAGAATTTTAGATTGGAATTTACAAAACAATTGAGCACTATTAAGTAAGTACCGTATCGACAGTATCCGTGATATGACTTCTTCTTCACCTACCGATCACCGTCAAGTACGGTACAATCGTCATCGTCACTTGATGCGACACTGTTGTCTTTTCTGCTTGAATGAGAAACTCGTAACTGTATACCCATATACGATATACCTTCCTATTAAACCATAAACATTTCCAATGTTAAAAGTGGTGGAAACGACCGCAACTGCACTGTAAGCTCTATAGGATGAAACTGTACGCAAAGGGACTTTGAGGCGCGCTCCTTTAAGGCGCGGGCACGGTTAGGCACTGAAATAGTTTCATATGCGAATAGAGTTCCTTACAGCAAAATGTAACGGAATTACTAATGAACATTATCTCAATAACTGAAAGGTTATTAAAAGTTGGTAAACTGTAGGTATAATATAATGACGGTTGTGTAAATAGATATCGTTAAAGGTGTATAAACAGACAAATGGAATGTTCCTTGGCTGCGAAATATGTTTATATCAGCAGCGCCGTACAAGTGGACAAGACCACTAACTTAACATTTACCTATGTATAATGTTTTATAAACAAACGATATAAAGCATAATGTTTATTTGCTGCCTGTTATCCCATGAGCACTTGGTAATGAGGAGAGTTGGAGTTCACGAGTCTAGAAATATGGTGCATATATTATGGTCATTTGCCTATGGTAATGTAAGACGAGGACCGTGGGAAATTATAACACTGGACAGATTACGTTTCCGCAGAAAAATTATCTTGAACTTATTTTCAAACCTACGTAAGCAACTCTTAATCTTTACCTTGACTTAATTTGCAAGGTCACCACCAGGAACTAGCGACCTTTGAGCTTCATTTTCACCAACTTCCCAATTTACCTATTTTTTTTTAAGAAGAGGAGAAGGGAAGCGACCTTTGATCGATAGCTTGATCTACTTTCCAAAAGCCCTCATCAAAGAAATAGATGAGACCGACATTTAAACTTGACTTGATTCCCATAAGGGCACCGCCAGTGGATGGCCACCTTTGAGTTACACCTGCCAAAATTCCTTAAAAATTAACCTTTATTAACCTTGAAAATCAAGTATGATTAAAAAAAAATGTTGGGAGATTGATCTTTGTTAACCTTGAAAATAAAATACAAAAGTCAAGTACAAAGCATCAATAAAAGTAGCTCAAGGCTACAAAAGAGTAAGTTCAAAGTGCAAAGTACATAACTTTTCAAGGTCATTATTTGAAGGACAAGTATTGACGATTGACTGACTTATAGA